TCACACCGCAAGAATTCAAGTAATGTATTTTTTTTAACCGGACGCTTGACGTCCTGTGTCAAAAATAAGCGTATCGTGCGAGAATTGCTCAGGTCTTGACCGGCTGTTGTCTGAATTTTGCAAATAAATTAATTTTCCACTCTTAATTATATAATTTTACTTGCAATTTACCAATCTTTGTTATATAATTTTATCTGCAATTTTACAATCCTAGTCATATTTTACTCTTAGTTAAATTTACTTTTATTTATCCTTTATTTTGTAGGCAAAAACACTGAACCTTGTAAAATTACTTCACTTTGTGATCCGGAATATCGTGCGATTTTAATGTCTTTGGCAGGAACAAAGCTAGAGTCAGTGCGAAGAGCATCTCTAGAAAAACGTCACTTATTTTTTTTAACAGATGGAAAGTGGAAATTAAGATTGTTGTGAACTCTGTGCCTTCGTAGACTTTTTTCCAATGGCAAAGATAGAATTTTTTCCAACGCCCAAGTTTTAAAAAGAGTGCAACAATTTTCGCACCGACTGAAGGGGAGGGAGGGAGAAAAGTAAATTCAGTGAAGTCTAGACATTGCTTGCATTTATTGGCAATTCAGTTTAATGACAGTAACTTCATCGTATATGAGTACTTGCAGAAACCAAATTCAGTAAATAATTTTTCCTCGAAAATTTTGCATCTAAAAATATCTACGGTTTACTTCGAAATTATCTGACTAAAAACTGGCAACTGTGGATAAGTGGGAAACTAAAAATTAATTGACGGAGAATGGGATGGAGACGTCGATAGGTTCAGAGCTAGTCCGTGAGAAGCTTGTTTCTTTTTCCCACAAAGCTTTTCTTTCATTTCTTGGTCGTTCCTTTTTGACTGAAGACAATGAATAGCGCGCAGTATGTTAATACAAAATTCCTGATATGCTGGGAAAAGGCGCTGCGAAAAAAGCGTCTTTGCAGAATCACTTGGAAAGTTGTCACATGTATACGTTCCATTTCAGAGTCACCTCCCACAATGGGCCAGCTGAACGTGAATGTCATACCACAGGATTTCAAAACAGCGTATAAGCACGTCGAAATTGTGGAACCCTAAAGTACAAAAACAGCC